GCCCTCATTGAGTCTCCATTTGCCTCTGCCCCTTGCCTGATAAAGAGTCCGAAAGGTGATAATCAGCGGGGCATGGTCTGACCATGTTCTCCGTCCAATCTTTACCTCATCAATATTGGCCAGAGTGGCTTTGTCAACCAGGCAGAGATCGATTCTAGTGGTAAGTTCTATGTACTTGCGATAGGTATGTATAATCTTTCTCTTTTGGATATGTGGATCTCCAGGCATCATAGAGATTGGTTGTAAATAGGATTTTGCTGAATTCAGTGCAATTTGAGATGGCGTGTGAGGTAGGTGGCTTGTTGTGTTCCCTTTTGATATCTAGATCCGGATCTAGTGTGCAGTTAAAGTCCCTGCAAATTACTGTATGGCCTTGTTTTATGGTGTCTATTTGTCTCATGGCTTTGCGAATGAAAGGGATTTGGGCTTTGTTTGGTGCATAGAGTGACACTATTGTAACCTGCATGCCGTTGAGGCTTCCAACTAAAATTAGAAGTCATCCTGTTGTGTCTGTATGTCTCCTAGTTTCCTGGAACACGCAATCCCTGTGAAAAAGGATGGCAACTCCCATGGACGTGTGAGGTGAGTATGCATGGAATGCCTGGGGGTATTGATTTGAATGGATTTGGGGAGGCTTATGAACACAGAAATAAGTTTATTGGAGACATATAATAGCAGCCTTTGATTTATGCATAGTTTGGGCCGCTAGGTGTCTCCTATGTGGACTATTCAGCCCCTTTACATTTAGGGAATATATTTTAAATGTCGCTCCCGTCATTGTGGATGGGTTGAGTGATTTGCCTATGTAAATTCCGCCACTACCTTACCCACAGCAAGGTTGTGGTTTTATGTATCCTTTTGGCAGAATGTGTGTAACAAAATATGTGTTTCTGTGTCTCTAATAGATTGGTGCTGTTATCTCACGGTTGTTTAGTATGGGGGAAATACCCTGTGGTCTCACGTGTCACATAATTTATGCGATTGGGACATAATGTTATTCCTGGCTTTTAAGAGTATAATTGAACTTATTAACCCAAAATTTAACATATAGGTTAAACTTGGAGGGGAGAAACTGAAACAGTCCTGCATACAGTGCAGGGGTGAAGTCTGCCTCGTGTGGGAAACTTTCGCTCTCAGAATTCGGGCAGTGGGGGGTGGGGTGAGAGTAACCACCGACTTTTAGCCTTTATTAAAAAAATCGCTCTATTGAGCCTTCCTAATCTGTATTAGTCTGATTCCCTTCTATAGGAGTGGTTTGTCGTTTGTCAGCCCATTCACATCCCGCAGAACCATCACGTAGGAGCCAAGTACCTCCGGGAACTTATGTCACTGTCCTAGCGCACTGTTGTCATCCTGTAATCTGTACGTTACCCTGAGATAGTGTGTGTCATATCGTAGCCTTAGGATTTTCATCCATTTTTGGCGATATTGCTAGTGCTTAATAGACAGCTCAAAGTCTGAACTTGGGTGTTGCGTGAGAGTGTACCATCTTTCAGACAGTTACATACTGTTGGGTAGACCTGTCACATTAGCGCTGAGCGCTAGCTGACGGTGTCATGTGATTAATTTATAGTTAGCTTTTGCGTCCACATGTGGCTATGTGCCGCGCAGTACAGCATTAATAGCATTTAAACATTTGAGTAATTATTTACTATTTGCCCTTATTGCCAGTAATGTGTATCGGGTATCTAGGCTATGGTTGGCTCCGTTTACCCAAGCGGTTGCGTGCATCATAATACAACATTTAGAGCGTTTAAAACAGTTAAACAATTATTTGCTATTCGCCTTTTATAATATTTCTACATAATGCGGTGATGTTAGCTGGCGATATCAGGTGGCTAAGCGATGATTATCTTCGCGTTCCCATGCGATTATATGCATCACAATGCATGCCTTATAGCATTTAAAACGTTTAAGCAATTTGTTATTAGCTCTTATTGCCAGCAACAATTTATGCTACTATCTCTAACGCACATGGTAAAGTCAAATGTAACAGGGTTTAAACATTTATGGGTGATACTTAAGTGGTTCTAGTGGTTCCGGAGAGCTGTGTTAGGCCTGTGCGTTCAGTCTTCGGGGTGCGCGTTCAGCTTCAGGGGGGAGCCTATCATGGACCATTCAAATCTCATCTTTTTCGGCTGTGTTTTCTGAGGGGAGTCGTGACCCATGTTGTGGTGTAGTCCCCATTCCTTAAGTTTCGCCATACCGACTTCTGGTTCCAGGATCGCTTCTGTTTTGCCTCTGTACCATATTAGCAGTTTGGTTGGATATCCCCATCTGTATGGTACTTGGTGCTTACGTAGAGTCTTAGTGACGTTTATAAACTCTCTTCTTTTCACCATGGTTGTTGCTGATAGATCAGCGTATATACTGATTCCCTGATACGGGTCTGGTAGTTGGTCCATTTTCCTTGTTGAGGTTAGAATTGTCTCCTTTGATTTGTAGTAATGAAAGCGGGCTATCACGTCTTTTGGTGTGTCCGCTGTAAATCTGGCCGGTCTGGGGAGCCTATGCACTCTATCCAATGTCCAGGCTGCGGCCTCAAGCTGCTGTGCTAAATGGCGCACATGGTTAGTAGGTATTGTGGGAGGGCTTCTGCGGGCGCTCTTTCTTGTTAGGACTGATCGGATCCGTTATTTTAAGTTGTTTTGACGGCGCCAAGGGTGTCAGAGAGGTTGCAGCTCTTGGTAGGTATGCTTTTCTTTGCGGTAACGGCTCGTTTTATGTTGCTATGGACTCGCTGGTTGCGGAGTTCTCTTCCCGTGCGACTACTCCATGCGGTCACTGGCCACGCCCTAGCCAAAACGTTTTGATACATCTGTGCTATTCTCTTTGGAACCAGGTACCACCTATTTATAAGTTTATAACAGGTTTCTACCAAGTTCAAACATTGGACTTGTTTACAGGTAGTATTAATAGCATTACACCATTCTCGCTGGTCTAGTAGGCAATTCTGATCATTTCCCCATTTTTTCTATTGGGGCAAGCTAACTAAGTAATTAATATTTCTGATTACTTCTATTGCTTTTGCTAAAACTCTAGGTATTACCTAATTTGAGAAGATATACTTTAATAGCTGTAGGGATTTATTAATAGCTAGATTTAAATGTTTTTGTAAGAAATACTTGACGCTAAGGTATGCAAAAATTTCAGAATTGGGTAGTTGGAATTTTTGGATTAAAGACTCAAATGGCATCAGATTATCCTTATAAATTCCTCTCTCTCTCCACCTGGAGAGTGATAACATTAGCTTCTATTACCTCCAACTTTGAAGAATCCAAAATTGCATATTTAAGCCCTGTTTTTCTGTTAATCTCTTCCCATACAGGGAGGACTTGCGCACAAATTTTGTTATTGTTAATATCAACTCCCATTTTTCCAATTTCTTTTGTATTTTGTATTCCAGATAAGACCGACAGGGTTCTTCAGACCTAAATCTTCCATTTCAATTTTAAACCAACTCTCATCTATAGCAGTTAATAAATGGGTTCTAAATACATAGGGGCGAAATGGCAGCTTGTAAGTGAGACACAACCCATGCCACCCAACACCAGGCACCCCGAGCACCATCAAGTCTCACGGAAGCACCACTCACACAAGCGCCCCAACCAAACTCCCCGGGCTCCCCGCCCGCACACAGGCATCAGTCACCCGAACGCACAACACCGCGCTTTAGGTCTGGGGGACTGAACGAGATTCAACTCAACATCGCACCCACATAAGAGCAGAGAGCCAACACAACATGGAGCAACCCACCTCAGCACCCACCTCAGCAGAACAAGGGAATCGGCCCTCAATAAAACCGCAACCCTCAGAATGGCGGCGCATACCCAAGCAGAAACCAGGGGCTGGAATAGAGCACAGACCTATCGCGACACCACAGTCACGCACCTGGACACTTCTGCCCATATACCACTCAAGCCATACACAGGGCAAGGAGAATTCACGCACCACCGGGTCGCTGACCCTCCACTCAGGGGCATCGGAGTCTACAACACCACATGCGTCTTACCCCAGCCATGCCTATCTTGTTGAACTCCCTGAACTATATTTTTCTTTGGTTTACTTTCCCCTAT